ACCATCATCCCACATGCCATAGCTCAAACATGCTCCCTCAATGCACACTCATCCCTACAAGCTTCAATAGAGGCGGAGGTTGCTCTCGACGAGCTTGAGTGCAGACTCAAGGACCTCGATACTGAGCTCACTAGGGTGCTTTCAGAAGAAGCGCGTCGCGAACTGTGGCAAGGCGGTCAGGGAGGCTAGTGACGATAAAAATAAATAGTGATTGCCATGGGGGGGGGGGGGGGGGGGAAGCAGTGCAGGCTGTGCATCAGTGCAGGCAGCGCGGTAGCTAGCATCCAGCGAACGCAGATGAGCAATCAGGTCAGCAGAATGCTCAAACGAGGCGAGGTCAGGAAACGGAAACGGGAGGAACAAGCGACCAAGAGAGATAGTGGTGGGAGTGGGTAGTGGGCCTTGATCGCAGTCAAGAACTCGCTAGCAGTACGAACCTGGGTGAAGTGGGTCTCCTCAGACTCAGGGAGGAGGCTGCCGACGGCGATGCAGGCTGTAGCGTCGCGCAACCTCCAAGCTGTCAGGGCAGCGCGCTGACGTGCAAAACGCTCTCTGTACGCAGTAGTGGGGTCAACGCCTAGGGGTTCAGGAGCAGAGGGCGCAAGAAGGTCATCGGAGGCGTGCACCGAGAGGGACTCGTTAGCGTGACGTTGACTCTCTAGTAGGTGCTGCGCACGGAGGAGCCAAACAGAAAACTCCAGCGGCCTACCCTCAGCATCAAAGCGCAGGACCCTAGTCGTCGCCATAATTGATGTGGAGGGGAGGGATCTACTACTGCCACGTCTTAGTTTGGCGGAGGAAACCCCAGCTAATGGGGATGGGCAGGGCGTGACATGACGGGACGAGCAGGGCGCGACACAACGGGCAGGGAGGCGCAACGGGCGCGACATGACGGGACGGGATGGGATGACGCGACGGGCAAGGAGGCGCGACGGGCGCGAGGGGATGGTACGGGATGGGCACGATGTGACTGGATGGGCAGGGCGCGACGCGACATGCGGGGAGGCGTGACGGGCATGAGGGGATGGGACGGGACGGACGAGACACGACGCGACAAGGAGGGTGCGACGCGACGGGCAGGGAGGCGCGACAAGAGGGTGCTACAGGCATGGTAGGCTAGGCGTAACGGGCACGAGCGGGTCAAGCAAGAGGAACGGGATCCAGCAGGATCCTAACCTAGGTGATACCATGTCAGAAACAGAATGAATGATGTATTATTGTGAGTTTGGGTACATATACCTAACCCTATCAACTATACTTCACATAGCATGCCCCACTACAGGCTACAACATTTGACACTCTCCTCTGGGTGCCCATGCTGCTGGTCGATGAAGCGTTGACTAGAAGAAAGAATCCTTCAGGTAGTTGAATACCGATTTGTGATTCAAAAACATGGCACACTCTATTTAGAGGTACTAACATGACTCATCTACAGAGAAAACACGGGCACCTGACAAAATTACCAGCAAACAGGTAAGTTGCACAACACATGGCTTATTAATCAACTTCCATAGTTTAGCAGAAGTACACGCAACTTGGTTTGCAATGGAGAACAAGGACCGAACGTACAGACTGACGTTGTCGTCCTTCCACGTATTGCTACCAAACTTGAATGTTCTAAACCTCATCCTCAGCACATACTTCACCTTGAAAATTACCCGTTGCCCCGGCGCTATGGTAAATTGCGATGGCACCACTCTCATTCTCACAGCATGAGGGGCGTTAATCATCACCCTGTAGGTCGATGTGGTGTCCAAGACGCTTGTCACAGTCTGCCTAGCAAAGAGTTCATGCATTATGTTGACCAGCATAACATAAGGCTGATTTAGGTTCCTGGCTGGAACGGGGCTCAGTGGCACGTACCTGAATGCCTTTTGAGCCAGCTTCATGCTCAGCCTAGCAAGAAAGTTGCGGAAATCTTACTCCCTGGCATCGTAGGTCAGCCCGGGGTCAAGCGCCCTAGCGGGAAACACATGCCCCGCTCCTATCTCCCACGGCCTTGCCAACTTGCCGTTCACATTCCCAATCGTTCTTTTGCCGTTGTCAGTGCTGCTAGCTGTGGTCATCATGACAAACATGACCTACGCGGGCATCCAATCAAGATGTTGCTGGATGATCAGAGCAGCCACACCAGCAACATGCGCCGCCGCCACGGCAGTTTCCTCACAAACCTGGAATGATCCCGTCTCACCGACAGTTTTCCTAGGCGCAGCCGCAAGGATGTTGGCCCCCGGGGCGATGATGTCCGGCTTGAGAATGGTGTTGGAGGAGCGGGCCTTCTTCGGGCGGCAGACACTACAACCCGGTGCAGCGAGAGGGCCCTTGGAGGACCATTTGGGAACCATGGGGAGGGAGGTCGATGCAGGGGAGATGGTGGCAGGGATTCGGGTTCCTTGCTATATTGATGGTGCGAGATCTGTGGTGTTTCCTTGAGATTTTAAAGCCGTTGCTGCTGCCGTTGTAGACGATGAAGTCAGAGACTGGGGCACGGTACTGCATGGTGGGGCACGGAAGGTGTTGGTAAGCATGAGAAGGGCAACATGAGATGCAAGAGGAGGGAGGTGATGCGACAGAAGGGAGGAGAGTGTGGAAAAGGGCAAGAAGCGATGCAAATCAATGTACTCTGCAAGCTGCAGCGTGGGAAACAAATAATCTCTCTAACAGCTGCATGGTGGGGCAGATTGAGTGTTGGTAAGCATGAAATGCGAGGAGATGGAAGACGAGGGAGGAGGTGCAGGGAGGAGAGCGTGGAAAAAGGCATGAACCAAGGAAGAAGGGAAGAAAGTGCAATGCAAAGCTGCACTGTGGGAAACAAACAACCTTCTTCGTGGGAAACTTACTACCCCTGCCGCTACCTAGCAAGTGCTCCCCATTCTCACCTTGCCCCCATGCTGATATAGTAGGGTGCAAAGTTGACGATGGCACGGGCAGGACCATACAAGTAACGGTAAAACAGTCACTCCGGCCTGGGGAGGGAGGAGGGCGAAAGATTCAAATTTTTAGGTGCCAATAAAAACTGGTTAAAGTCACTCTGGCTTGAAGGAGGGTGAGAGGGAAACACAGAAAAGAGGAGGTGACGAAAGGGTGATGGGCAGGCCTAGGTGCAAGGGAGTTGAAAGGCGTTGAAAAGGGTTCGAGCCACAGTAACTCAGATGTGGATGGAGGGAGGGAGGGAGGGAGGGAGGGAGGGAGGGAGGGAGGGAGGGAGGGAGGGAGGGAGAGTGGAGAATGAGAGCGGAAGGGCACGGAAGGATAGAAGAGGGGGTAGGGATTCAAGAGAGAAGAAGCACAAGGAAAACGAGAGAAGAAAGAGAGGGATGGCTGACAAAGCCCTTCTGAGGCGCCCTAACAAGACGACTAGCTGACATGGGGTTTACGATCAAATTCCGTACTAGTGTATACTCGAGTGATGCACCCACCACATTGGCAGGGACATGTATAAGTGTAATAGAAAAACACACTCGGATGAACTAGCGAAGCCACTCCCTACACGCTGGAAGTTGGAATACGGGGGAAGGCATGGGTGATACGAGTGATCGCAGCTTGCACCAGCGTTCTTATGTGTTCACACAAAAAATTAACAAGGTTGCACTGGCAAAGTTTGAATTACAGAAATTGCAATGGCAAAGTGACTGCACCTGGACCTAGCAGCCTAGCGACCAGGCATGTCGACTTGCCACCATCGCTGAAAGGCATCGCACCAGCTCTGCAGAAAGGCGGCCTGCAAGCAGAGCAAGTCTGCAGCTTGCTAACTCTGCGAGTCGAGGATGTGCCAACACTGCATCTGCACGACTTGCCAACACTGCAGCAGAGCGGCTAGCCAACGTTGCAACCGCAGATCGCTATAGCGCACGTGCGCACCCGCTTCACATGTGTTTGTAGCGGTCGAGCACATCGTGTCTCATACCTCGTCGCGTAGATGCCGAGTTGGCCACGTGCCAACAATCGTTGCACCCGTAGTGTCAGATTTATATGACATAGCTACTGTAGGCAATAGTGGGGTAGCACATATGGGGTACAGCTTTCTGGGGTTTGTACTTGTACCCAACTTTCCCTGAGTCATTTCATTCTCGTTCTCTTTTCTCATGGTATCGAGTAGGTTCCCTAGTGGGAACTGTTCCTAGGGCCCACCTACTTTTTTTTCCTGCCCGGGGCGTGTCCCGCCCCTGCCCGAAGCGCGCTTAGGGTCGCGCCTTCCCTAGCGGCCCCGTCGCGTCGCCCTTAGCGGCCCGTCGCGCCGCCCTTAGCGGTTCCGTCGCGCCGCCCTTCGCGGCCGCGTCGCGCCGCCCCTTCGTGTCCCCGTCGCGCCGCCCCTTTTGCGGCCCCGTCGTACCGCCCTCAGCGGCCCGTTGCCACCCTCCCCCTGTGGCCCGTCACCGCCCTTTCACCTGCGGCCCAATCGCCGCCCTTACAGCGAACCCCGTCGCTGCCCTTGCAGTGGCCCCGTCGCCGCCCTCCCCTTACGGCCCGTCGCCGCCCTCCCCTTACAGCCCGTTGCCGCCCTTACAGCGGCCCCGTCGCCGCCCTCCCCTAACGGCCCGTCGCCGCCCTTTCAGCGGCCCAGCCGCCTTCTTCAGCGGCCCCGTCGCCACCCCTGCAGCGGCCTCGACGCCGCCCCTTCAGCGGCCCTCTCGCCGCCTCCTCAGCGGCCCCGTCGCCGCTCACTTTAGCGGCCCCGCCGCCCCTCGCGGCCCCACCTTCCTTAGCGGCATAGCCGCCTAGCAGCCGAGCCGCCGAGCAGCCGAGCCGCCCAGCAGCCAATCGCCGAGCCGCCAAGCTGCCGAGCCGCCCACCAGCCAAGCCGCCGAGCAGCCGAGCCGCCCAGCAGCTGAGCCGCCGAGCAGCCGAGCCGCCCGAGCCGAGCCGCCCAGCCGCCCAGTCACCGAGCCGCCGAGCCGCCCAGTTGCCGAGCCGCCCAAGCCGCCCTGTCCGGTAAGAGCAGCGCCTCTGTCACTGCATTGCCCTTACCCTACGGTTTGCGCTGCTAGTCTACTGCTGTCATGGCTACCCCTAGTGTCCTCGCTTTTGACGCTGAGGGTCGGGCCATTGACTTTGACGTCTGGGTAGATGACCTGCAGCTTTTCCTACAGTGCGATAGGGTAGATGGTCTCTCCCTCTTTGACCTCACCTCTGGTGCCTCTCCTGCCCCTTCTGCTAATGCTGACGCCACTGTTCGCTCACAGTGGGCCACACGCGATGCTGCTGCACGTCTTGCTGTGCGTCACCACCTGCCTACCTCTGAGCGTGCGCACTTTAGCCAGTACAAGAGTGCTCAGACCTTGTACGACACTGTAGTTGCACGCTACTCCTCCCCTGCCACTGCTGCACTGAGCCGCCTCATGCTACCGTACCTCTTCCCTGGCCTTGCTGCCTTTCCCACAGTCGCTGACCTCATTACGCACCTCCGCACTAGTGACACTCGCTACCGCGCTGCGCTTCTTGCTGAGTTCTGCGCCAAGAACCACCCCCCCCCCCCCCCATGTACATCACCCTCTACTACATAGTCACCCGGCTCCCTGACTCCCTTCGCGTAGTCAGGGACAACTTCCTCTCAGTTTGCCCCACCACTCTCACCGTTGACCTCCTCGAGAAGGGCCTCCTAGCAGTAGAGAAGAGCATAGTAGCTGTAGGAGCCTCTCGTGGTGACCCTCGCATCCCCATCTTTGAGGGGTGTTCCCCCTCCCCCCTTTTGCCCTCTGTTGCCTCTGCTGCTGCGGCCGACCTCGTTGGGCTTGAGTCGGTCGGTGCGGCGTCTACCCCTAGCGGGAGACGCCGCCCTGGCAAGGGCAAGGGGGGCAGGGGCGCTGGAGGAGCTAGCGGGGGCGGTGGAGGAGGCGGTGGAGGCGATGGAGGGGGTGGGGGTGGCGGTGGGGGTGGTGGCGAGGGTGGAGGTGTCGGTGGCGACAGTAGAGGCGGAGGCGGCGGCGGCGGTGGCGGTGGGAGCGGAGGTGGCGGAGGTGGCGGCGGTGGCGGTGGAGGTGGAGCTGGTCGGGGTGGCGCTGCGCAGAGGGTCGGCTCCGGTGGTGGTCAGCGCCAGCAGCAGCAGCAGCAGCAGCTGCGCACTCGTGACGTCCCCCCCCCTCAGCAGCTCCGTGAGTGGTACGCTGCACGCCAGCGGGGTGGGGGTACTGGTCCATGCACCTACGTCCTACGCACCGCCGACCGCGCAGGTGAGCAGTGCGGGGGTGCGCACTCCACCCAGCGCTGCTTTGGCCGCCTGACGGACGCTTGGCGTCACCAGTTCTTGGAGGCCACTGAGATCCTCCGCTAGGGCGAGCTTTCTAGGGCGGGAGTAGCTGTCTTTGACCTTGACTTTGATGCTATTCTTGCTGCCATGTATGCTGTGACTATTAGTGATGAGGGTGACTGTTACCGGTGTTTTCCGCCCGGCCCGGGCATTGAGACTGCTGCTCTAGGTACTGGTGAGGCTGCTGCTCTAGGTGCTAGCAAGGCTGCTGCTCTAGGTGCTCGTGCGTCTGCTCCCTCAGATGCTGGTGAGTCTGCTCTCTCAGGTACTGCGTCGGCTTCGGCCTCCCACACCTTCACCCTTGACTCGGGGGCTTCTCGCTCCTTCTTTTGAGACCGCACCACACTCACGCCGCTTGGTGTTGGTGCAACCCTACGGTTTGCACTCGGCTTGTTGTCCGTGTGCGTGCATGCGTGTGTGCATGGAATGGAATGAATGCATGAAATAAATATATATTTCATGCTTATAATATTGTGTGAATGATGGGTCATGATGTCAAGTGTGTGTGTCAAGTCAATAGCGAATTATCGCTAGTCGCGTGTAACGTGGTCGTTTTGTGTGTCCCGCGTGGTTTCTATTTGTCGTGCGCGGTTTTTATTTTGTCGCTTGTCGAACGTTCGGCGTTTCGCAGGAGTGTGCAGAAGACCCATCAAGAATTCAAGGATGAGTTTGTGATGAAGAGCCCGAACCTTGGTGTCAAGCCTCAAGTGATTTCGAAGCTCGCCAAAAGGCTGCACCTCAAGATATTGAAGATAGTTACATTACTTTGTGTAGTGTAACATTTCACTTGGTGTAGGCCCTAGTGAAGGGTAGTTTCGAGACCCTTCGTGGTTGGGGACAGTGTGGCACTGTTCCACATCACTGTACCTCGGCTCTTGGGGTTTGTAGGAGCTGGGAGTCATTCCCAACTCGTAACTCTTCCTAACTCTTCCTATCTTGTGTTCTAAGACTATGTTGCTGCCATAGTACTGTTCCTTCAAACCGATGCTGTGTCGTCTTGGTCAAATCGTGCGATCTAACTTGCCTAGTGTAGGCGAGAATAAGACGCTCCAGATCCAAGTTGAATCAAGTCATTTGATGTTGTGACCAGAACGCTATGAACGTTTGAAGCCGCTGTGCATAAATCTGGCTGTGCACTCTATCTTTCGTTTTAGGCACATTGGAGCCTACTGTGACTATAACACTTGGCCGGCCAGTTGCAGTCTCTCCAGCAGACCCCTCTGGGGGTCCTGTCCTTGCTCACTACTCCACTGTCCTCCCGTGTCCGGCGGCCCCCTCTGGCACCCTGTCTGGTCTTTACCTCCCCTCGTTCTCTACGAACTTGGTGAGTGGTGCTGACCTACAGGATGCGGGGGTTCACCAGATCACTCCTGCGAGTCAGCGGGTGACCCACTGCACGGACGCTCGGACAGGCCGACACCTGGCCACGTTTACACGTCGGCCGGGGTCGAGCCTGTACACACTGACCACTACGTCTCCTCCAGTCACTGCGTCTGGTCAGGTAGCTGCGTCGGGTCAGGTGTTTGCTGCAGCGTCCAGGTCTGGTCCTGAGTCTGCCCCCAGCTCGTGTCGCCTCCTGTCTCACGAGACTCTCCTCTAGGACCACCGTCTTGTTCACCCCTCCCTGCTTCGTCTACGAGGCATGGCCTCTCGTGTCCTTGTCTCTGGTCTTCCCCGGTCCCTCCCTCCCCTTCCTCCGCGGCCTGGCCCTACCTGCGTCCCCTGTGTTGAGGGGCGGCAGCGGGCTACCCCCCCCTCACTCCTCCCACTTTCCTCCGACAGAGGCCCCGCTGCAGACACTTCACATGGACGTGTGGGGCCCGGCCCGCGTCCGTGGACAGGGTCACGAGCGCTACTTCCTGCTGGTGGTTGACGACTACTCGCGTTACACCACAGTCTTCCCCTTGCGCAGCAAGGGTGATGTCACTGAGGTGTTGATCGACTGGATCCGCGCAGCTCGTCTCCAGCTCAGCCAGAGCTTCGGCTCGGACTTTCCTGTTCTGCGTCTGCACTCTGACAGAGGCGGAGAATTCTCCTCTGGCCTTCTGCGAGCCTACTGTCGTGCACGAGGCATCCGCCAGACCTTCACGCTTCCGGACTCTCCACAGCAAAATGGGATTGCTGAGCGCCGCATTGGCATGGTCATGGATGTCGCTCGTACGTCCATGATGCATGCGGCTGCCCCCAATTTTTTGTGGCCGTTTGCGGTTCGGTAAGCGGCGCATCAGATCAACCTTCACCCCAGGGTCTCCATGCCAAAGACCTCCCCAGCTTTGCTGTGGACGGGGAAGGTTGGCGATGCGTCTGCGTTCCGTGTCTGGGGATCTCGGGCGTTTGTCCGCGACTTGTCTGCGGACAAACTGTCCCCTCGCGCTGCTCCTTGCGTCTTCCTTGGCTTCCCCCCTAACGCGCCAGGGTGGCAGTTCTACCACCCCACCTCTCGCCGTGTTCTGTCCTCCCAGAACGTCACGTTTGACGATTCGGTCCCCTACTACCGTCTCTTCCCCTACCGCACTCCGTCCCTCCCCCCGCCACCGCTCTTCCTTGTGCCAGGTCCCCCCCCGGTAGACCCCCTCCCCCCTCAGGGTCCTGCCCCTTCAGGTGTGTCCCAGGTAGATGCAGTCGAGCCTGTCGAGGTTACTGGTGACTCTGGTGCTGCTGAGGGTGCTGAGCCTGGGGGTGCTGACTCTGGGGGTGCTGAGCGTGTGGGTGCTACGCTTGGGGGTGCTGAGCCTGAGGGTGCTACTACTAGAGGTGCTGAGCCTGGGGGTGCTTAGCCTGGGGGTGCTACCACTAAGGGTGCTGAGCCTGGGGGTGCTGAGCCTGGGAGTGCTACGCCTGGGGGTGCTGAGTTTGGGGGTGCTACGCCTGGAGGTGCTGGGCCTGGGGGTGTGAAGCCTGTGCGAGTGGTTTGCCCGGCGCTCGAGGCGTGCTGCTGGAGCTGGAGGTTCTTTGGCTGCTGAGGGTGCTAGTGCCGCGGGTCCCGGAGGTGCTCATACTAGGAGTACTGGAGCTGCTGGGCCTACGGGTACGACTGGAGCTTGAGCTCCTGAGGGTGTTGGCGCTGAGGCTACTGCTGTCGGTCCTCGAGGCGGTCCTGCTGGGGGTGCTACTTGTGTTGCTGGAGGTACTGGAGCTAGGGGTGCTGCTGGCGCTAGTGCTGCCGCTCGGGGTACTGGTGCTGTCCCTGCTGTGTCTGGAGCCGTAGCGCGGCCTCGGTCGTACTTCGTTCCGCTCTTTCAGCAGGTTCTTGGTCTCCCGCCTTCTACTGGTCCTCCTCCTCCCTTAGAGTGTCTATAGCCTGTCCTGTCACAGTTACAGTTACAGCCGGCCTCCCCACTGCCTGCTCCTTCTCCCTACACTGGTCCTACTAGAGGTCTTGCTGAGCGTCGTGAGCCTGCGTCTCGCCCTGCGTCGCCTATCCGTCCTGCTTGCACTAATGGTCGTGGTTCGCGTCAGCATCCTCCCCCTGTCCCTGGCACGCACCGGATGTCTCTACGTCCGTCCACTGCTACTCCTTGCTACTGTCGTCACTCACCCTTCCTTTGACTCCACTGCTGCGTCTTCCCTAGTTGCTGAGCTTGTCGACTTTGCTGCTCGCTGTCGTCTAGAATACGCTGCTAGTCTTGTCGCTGAGTCTGAGTCTGTCTTTCCTCCGTCCGTCGGGGGTGAGTGTGCCCTTGGCATCGACGTCCTTGAGAACATGCAGGAGGAGTTCCAGTGTTTGGCCGCCGCTTCACCTCATCTCGTGTCCGTACTGCTTACCCCTGAGGGAGACCCGGATGCACTTAACATCCCGACTCCGCGCTCTTACGCGGAGGCGATAGAGGGTCCCTACTCCTCTCAGTGGCAGGCAGCTATGGACGCAGAGATGGCTTCCTGGAAGTCCACAGGCACCTACGTTGACAAGGTTCCCCCGCCTGGGGCGAACATAGTCAGTGGCATGTGGATTTTCAGGGTGAAGCGGCCGCCGGGTTCTCCGCCTGTCTTCAAGGCGCGTTACGTGGCTCGTGGCTTCAGTCAGCGGCAGGGAGTTGACTACTTTCAGACCTTCTCTCCCACCCCGAAGATGACCTCTCTTCGGGTACTGCTGCACATAGCTGCTCACCGTGAATACCAGCTGCACTCTCTTGACTTCAGCACTGCTTTCTTGCAGGGCAGCCTACACGAGGAGATCTGGCTGCGTCGCCCACTTGGCTTCACTGGGTCTTTTCCTCCTGGCACCCAGTGGAGCCTCCGGCGGCCAGTCTACGGTCTCCGCCAGGCGCCCCGTGAGTGGCACGACACACTGAGGACTACACTTGTGGCTCTTGGAATTGCTCCTTCTACTGCCGACCCGTTGCTGTTTCTGCGCACCGACACCTCTTTGCCGCCGTTCTACATCCTCGTGTACGTCGACGACTTGGTCTTTGCTACTGGCGACACTGCTGGACTCGCCCACGTGAAGTCTGAGCTGCAGAAGAGACACACGTGCACAGACTTGGGTGAACTGCGCAGCTACCTTGGCTTGCAGATCACCCGGGACAGAGCACGCCACACCATTACCCTGACTCAGTCACACATGGTGCAGCAGGTCCTTCAGCGCTTCGGCTTCACGTACTCCTTGCCTCAGGCCACTCCTCTGCCTACTCGCCACTCGCTCTCAGCTCTGCCTTCGGATGAGTCCGTAGAGTCGAGTGGCCCGTACCTAGAGCTTGTTGGCTGCCTCATGTACCTGATGACCTGCACACGACCTGACCTTGCATACCCTCTTAGCATTCTCGCACGCTATGTTGCTCCTAGGAGACACAGATCGGAGCACATGGCTGCAGCGAAGAGGGTGTTGCGCTACTTGTGCAGTACGTCGGGCATGGGGCTTGTGCTTGGAGGGCAGAGTCCAGTGGTCCTCACTGGGCACGCAGATGCTTCTTGGGCTGACGACCAGGCTACGCAGCGGTCGTCACAGGGTTACACCTTCCGCCTTGGTTCTGGCTCTGTTTCGTGGCGGGCTACCCGCTCGTCTTCTGTTCTCGGCTCCAGTTGTGAGGCTGAGATCTACGCCGGGGCCATGGCTGCTCAGGAGCTTCGCTGGCTCACCTACCTGCTGACTGATCTAGGAGAGCCGCCTCATTCTCCTCCAGTGCTGTACGTAGACAACAAGGCCATGCTGGCCTTGTGTCGAGAGCAGAGACTGGAGCACAGAATGAAGCACATTGCTCTCCGCTATTTCCTTGCTCGTGAGCTACAGCAGTGTGGTCAGCTGCGCCTTGCGTACGTGGCCTCTGAGGCCAACACTGCTGATGTCTTCACCCAGGCACTTGCGCCTTGTGATCATCAGCGCTTCTGTACTCGGC